CGACAATGTGATACATTTTTTGTTGTTGAATGAACGCAAATCTTCAGAAGGGATAACACTCCCACTGATGCATTGCTAAAATTTGGTTTGTGATATCAGCAAATGTTCACTTCCCTTTTTGGGTTATGATTACCATTTTCAGGCTACCCATCTGGTCAAACAACGAATAAAAGGTGAGTAAAACACTGTGAGTGCCAGGGAGATAGGGACACGTGATCAGATTATTGATCGTGCTTGAAAGGTTAGTAGAAACACTGGCACCGGGTTTACAACAATCAACAATCGAACTACCCAACTATCGGCCAAGCAAATTTTGAAGCCTTTCATAGGGCACGATATCAATCCTACTAGTCAAGAACGTCATACCTGATCAGATATTGCTCTGGATACACTGATCACCGAATCACTGATATTTCCAGAAGATATGAAGAAACTTGCCCAGTGACATGCATCGCAGTTGACGTGATCACTGATACAAGGAAATTGGTGAGTGGAAATAGGTTTAATTTTAAAAAATGATCTATTCAAGCATGCGAGGGCCCAGAAAACTAAATTAAAAATAACACATAATAAACCAAATGGACTAAACCGAGGCGACGGGCACAGAACTTCGAGGAATCACAAAATACACGACAACAATCCAAAGCAACGAAAATATGACATTGGACGGTAACGTGCATGAAACTGAAAAGCTTCAAACCTTCGAAAACTGACCGCGAAAGGAGATGAGGAATCTGAGAAAACTGTGGAGGCTACTGCACCAAAAGAGAAAGAAACATAGATACAAAAGTTGGGGATTTCAAGTCAACTTTTTACACTTTTCTTCGAGTACTTTGTGGATTCGCGGTGGTCGTGGGTTGTGCAGGTCCAAATTTGGCAGGTTCAACGAAATGCAGTTCAACATGCCGATTAAAGCAATCCGTTATAGCGTCTCTGTAAGGTATCCAAGTAACAGGGAGAGGTGAACTGAGTTAGTCAAGTGAAATTACATATAATCGTTGCGGAAATTAACCATACTAGTACTTGTTTTCATAATTAGATGTGATATATCCTTGTCACTCTCCCACAAGAGGCAACTCTATACTGGGCAAAGTAATCACCAACCACCCAATACCTTTTTTTTCCTTAGCACCAAAAGCACCAAATTTCACCAGCAACCGTTTAATCTTAGTTCAACCTAAAGTTTATTCACACTCTGCCTCTAAATCTTTCTCTCGATCTGACCATGTCAGATCCCGT